AATATTAACTGAATGAGGGATAGGGGGGACTGGTCGTCCTACAAGGCATTTCAAAGGCACATTCCAATCCGCCTCAAAAGGATTGATTTAGTGTAAAAAGCGGACCACCCCATTAAATAGGTTAGTTGATTGACCACAAGATAAAAAAGGAATGCTCAGCTGTGAGAATATGTCCAGCACCAGAAGCTGCGGTGTTTTATTATGAAAGCAATTACCAACAGTCTCCGTCATATCGGTCCGACTAGCCTTCCGTGATGAGGTCCGTGTGATCTTCCATTTGCATATCTAGAGATGCAGCAACACAAGGCTGCCAACCGATGCCAATGCTGGTCTTGTTGTCAGTTTCCATCTGGATTGTCTGGATGTGTAGGCACCTAGAAATGGCTGAATTAGCACTAAGTCCTTTCTCCGTCTTCTTTCATTCTTTCCCTTACACTAAGGTTTTCAAATAAATGACGGCTGTACGACGCCCAAGCAAACTAATTACGTACTGTGTTTGAAGGTCCCTTTGTCTTCACGTCAAAAAGCTACATTCTAGCCCTTAACGAAGACGGAACAGAATGTCCCTAGGGAGCCTGTTCCCCGATACACACAGTAAAAATTGGAGAGAAAAGTCTGCGGGTTAAAACACTCCACATTACAGAATCAACACATTCAGATAAGGCGCGAACGAGGAAAGCAGACCTACATTGTCCAACTTCACACGTTCGGACATTGTATTCACGTATTGCTGTACTGCTTTGTAGATAAATCGATACTGGGTCTCCGTCTGGACCATGCCCGAACGTTGCTCACGCACCATTTGAATGGTTCGCGAAATGTCGATGTCACAGTTGAGGCCCATCGTTTTGATGTAGTTGATCAACATATCTATCACAATAAATGTCCCAGTTCGGCCGATGCCCGCACTGCAGTGCACGATGGTTGGCCCCGAGCCCGATATACTCTCCTTTAGGAACAAAGATACGAACAATGAGAAGTGTTAAGTGGGAGAGAATGGCTATGGAATAAGACAACATCGATGACTAAGGGTCGAGTCTTTCCGCAACTCCACGAATTTTACCACAATGAAAAAATATTAAAGAAACAAAATTGTGGACAATGTTGATTCAGTCTTACAGAATCATACTTGGGATTATACACTTACGGTGGCTTAAAGGTGAGCATGCACTATATTTAGAGTATTCTTAGTAAACTCATGAAAACGAAGCAACTTCATTCGTAGTGAAGGGATAGTTCAGAACGACCAACAACAGGAGGGGGTCATTACGGGGTGTCGTTGAATGGAGGAACCACATTTTAGTTCCTGGTGTAAACAGTTGGAGGGTCCGAGGGATAGGTGCGATTAGACTTCAATGTAACTACTAATGAAACCGTAAACCGTCCAGCTGTAGCACCCTTTCGGTGCCTAGCTGCCATGCCTCCCGAAGGAAGCACGAGGGCTGGGATACTGCCAGGTTGCCCAAGCCTAGACATGGGAAGTCGAGAGGCAGAGGTCGGGTTCGAACCACGGCTCTTCCGGTCAGTAAATTCGCGCTCTAACTACTTGGTCCATCTCGCCCACACCTACTAATAATGTGAGACCTATTCGCCATTTTACTGTCTCCAGTGCTCCTAACTAGGCACAGGTGTCCTGGCAATATTCCAGCCCTCGTGCCTCCTCACGTTGGCATGGCAGCTGGGCATCGAAAGCTTGCTACAGGCGGAAGATTGTTTTTTTTACTATTTTAGTGTAACAACCAGGGCCTTCGTGGTGCAGTGCTGTCAGACCGTTGGGTCTGACAAACTGCAATTTGAATGGTAATAAAAGGTAATAGAAAGATGCATGTTCAGTAAATCATCACGAAGGCTGGATGGTTGGGGCCCTCGAAACAACATTCTCCCGGTAACATTGGGAAAAAACGCGGAGAAACATCAGGAAATTTCTTATGTATATGTGCAATGGATTCTGAAGTACAATGATTCCGTTTTAGGCGGGTAATTCTGCTCAACGCAGCATTGGTCACTATGAAAATAGATTCATCCAAAAACAAGCAGCAAATTATCCAAAGATGTCCAATGCATTACTTGACAACTGTAAGTTTGTACTGGCCAGGAACAGACCGTGATCTCCACGAAATTGAAGCAATCGCTCCGCATTATCCGCACGCTGAGCATCGACTAAAAATCTATCACCAAAATGTGCTCCTTCCGGACTTACTCACCCAACTTGGGTATTCATATCACCCACCAAGATTATTATATCCGTCTTTTATGCTGACCGAAGCAGTCGCGACAGATCTTGATAGAACTCGTCCTTGTTAGTCCCAGAACTGTAGTCTGCCGGGACGTATGCCGAAACGACCAAAAACGCCGTCTACAACATTGATTTTAACTGAACCAGACAGCCATACAGCGGAAAGGCGACTGTTTACTGAAATACAATCCAGTAAGGCGCTTTCAGTCTTTGGGCTGAGTGCAACTCCCACACTGTATATACCAGGAGTCATTGGGTCAGGATCACCAGATACCCAAAGAAAAACATGAGCTTGTCCTAAGCGGCTTGAGGTGCAAGATCGAAGTGGGGTCTTGTGTGAATGTTTTGCAGAAACAACGAACATCGACAGATAGGGGAAGCAAGGTTTTAGCAAGAGATGTCATGTGCCCACTTCGACCAAGGGTACGGATCAGATATTTTGAAGTTTGTAAGTGAATATTTTGGTTTATTTTTCTGGGCGATGGTTCATGCACGAAATATTTGCTAGGGGAGTGGCTGATGGGTTGAGTGCACAGCATCGTTCAATGGGTGGGAAGGGTGATGGTGGAAGGCTAGAGAGCGAAGAGCTGCAGGGGTGAATGATACTTCTCGGTTGCCCAATCCGAAGAACGGGGTTTGGTCCAGGTACCCCACTTTGAGTCTTTGATTCAAAACTCTGACCCACAAGGCAGTGGGAGCGGTGTCGGGCGTTGTTCATGGAATCTGCCCCTAGCCTCTGACTCAAAAGTTTGAACAGCGAGGCAGTGGTTGTCAGGGTTTTCTTGGGGGACCCTTCCAAAAGTCTGACCCACTTAGCTGCAGCGGGCCAGCCTGGCCTGAGGGGGCAAGGGGTAAGCCATTAATATCTCACTCCTAATGCAGCTGCGCACAGCAGCTGCCTTTTGAGCAGAAGCTGACTCTTTGGTTTTAAAAGTGCTTCGACCGTTTTGAACAATGCATCGACGGTTACGGTCAACCGATGGGTGATCGAAGTGTGCAACCTTTAAGGTCCACTTTTTAATCTGTCTTTCTTCGGGGAAGGCAGCATCGCTGCTTCCATAAACATGGACATGCTGGTCACCTGAGGAAACGCCTTACTGCCTTCATACTTCTCCTATCGTAGCGGAGGGTACGAATTTATCTCCAGATCGCCTCGTGATACGATTCCTGTCAATTCGGGGACCCACTGTTCCTCGTCGGGTTGCTCACCGTCCGTTCGGCTGAAATTACTGAATCATTGAGAAGTGAGTTGCAGTCGATGTAACCCGTATAATCATTGCAGCACAAAAGCCCGACCACCACAAGGCGACTGCCTTGGATAGGGACCGAGTGGTAGACAGTGTGTGACCTGGGAACGAAGTGTGAAAACACTACCACCTCCCTGGATAGGGACCCCGGAATCCAACTCAACAATGGTTAATGAGACTGGCAGAAATGGCCCGATCGCGCAGTCAGTGGCGCTCGTGCATCAAAGCTATCGCCTCCAATGCGTAGCTACCTAGTTCCAGGACTCTCCCACACTCTCCCACTTTCCAGCGTTTCTAAGCTTCGTGCACCACGTGCTGAGTGGTTCACATAATCTGATTTCGCAAACAATATGAACATGCGAACACCCTCAATTGCTGATTGACACATTGCCACCGTCGTAGTAAAGTTCCGGTCCGATCAGTCCACTTCATTTTGTTGCTGTCATAACATTGCGCCCATGGTGGTAAAAGAAGACTAACTGACAGCCCAGTTTTTGTCTACTGACTAGTGTCCGATATGAGTTTTCCGGCCAATACGGCTTGTGTTCGTGAGCATAGCTCAGTAAATGGATCAAGTGTTAGCTATGAGCAGATATTCAAACGAGGGTCAATTAATGCTTACAGTGAATTGATCGCGGGGATATATCAATCAAAAGTGCGCCTCATTAGTGAGTGAAACTCATTATCGACCGTTACTGGGCCACTGGGATCCGCTGTTACGGTCACATAAGGATAACCTATTCAGTTGTGTTCTTTACTGATCGAAATCCATTACAAGCCCTACAATCAGTCTGATACCCAATCGGTCGGTTTACAAAGGTTGACATGGATTCCGGAAATGATACTGGTCATGTTTGGACTATTTGAGGGGTCAAAACAGTCTACAGTGAGTATCAATTGCTTCAGCTATTAAGATCAGGTATTATATCATCCAGGGCCATTCGAATCTAATGGCTAAAAAGGGACGGAAAGAAAACGTACCAGGGTTCCTCTCTGAAAGGGAACAGCTGTAGTTTCAGTGAAAAGTCGATACTGACAAAAAGTGGAAAAGTTGTAGTTCTAGTGTCAAGACTCTCCCGAAAGACAACGACTGAAGGTGAAACTGAAGCCGTTTTTGAATAACGCAATCAAATAGCCATCACATATCTGTAAGTCCTTCAGACAGAGAAAAACGAAGGTATCTGGGCCACCTCGACCCGTTCGACAGGAATAACAATTACCAAACGTAAGTTGAATGGCCTAGCAAAGCTTTGAGGGAGAATACAATTACCCTAGAAGTGTGAACTGGCGGTGACGCCTTTCTCAAAGAAAGGAAGGCAGTGTAATGCAACCGAGAGGCTCAAGGCAAAAAGCCATGTCAATGTAATAAACCCAAGCTAACGTTTAGTAAGAAAACAGACAGTTAGGTGTTTCCCAGACAACGAACAGGAAAGTAATCCTGTGAATTGAAGTATCCGAAACATATCTGAGTAGACTAATCCGTTACGTTGTGCGGCTAGTGCGCAACAAGATGGTAGTATAGCTGGCACAAAAACAAGGTGAACAATGGGCGCGCACATTACTTGTCCCGCCCACATAGAAAGTTACATGCGTCTGACAGAAAAAGAACGAATAATGAATGCACTTTGACGTGAATAGCCGGAATATTAGCAGCATATGAGTTCGGGTAGCTACGACTGGGAGCGCACGGTGCTTGTGTTGCATACCATCGCTTCTGAATAGCCCAGATAATGGACAAGTCGTTGAATTTGGCAAAATGCCAGAAGTGGTTGTGATGATCGGTGGTGTGAGCGAGGATAAATGCCAACTGTCGTAGACAGAAAGGTAGAAGGATGAGCTCGGGGATTACATTAAACTGGATACCTATAGTGTGGCGACTAGTGAGTCGAGAAGTGTTGGCAACCCTAGCATTTGCACGCAGTTAGTTGTCACGCGGTTGTGAGAAGCGTAGGTGTGTTGACCTTGAGTTGCTTCGTGTTAATGCGCTAGCCTCGGTAATTTTCACCAGTTCTGTTCTATTACAGAAGACGAAACATACTGTGATGCCGTAACTTATCGAGCAACAGGAATAAAGTAAGTGATACATCACTTGCCAAAATGACTTTTTAAACTCAATTTGACCAGCCATGGACGACTGTGGCGCGGCAGATATCAAATATGAAGTTGTAATATACAACTACTGAGTGACTCACATTCAGCAGTTGTCCAGGACGGTTTCGTGTTGATACCGTACAGTTCCCACTACTAAGCTGAGCCACCAGATACAAAGCGATATTGAGAAATTAGCGTAGGCAAAAGTGTAAGCAGCACTACACCTGGGCACTTGTGTACGTTCCAGTGGACTGGCTGGAGATGAGATCGTTTCTCGAATCGGGAAGGCCAGGATAGCCTTTTCCAATCTCCGACATCCATGGCCTCTACGTGACGTCAGTTCGTCTGTCAAAGGCAGAGTTTACACCGCAATCTATGATGCTTTATGGATCCAAGACGTTGCCTCTACGCGCAGAGGACATACGAAAGATATCAGTGTTTGACCATCGGTGTCTCCGAAGCGTTAGCCGGGTGTATGGGGAAACATCGGATTAGCACTGAGGTACACCAGATGAGTCTAGGAATAACGAACTCTCCCGAGATAGATAAATTACTCACGCTTCTTAGGCTACAGTGGTTAAGACACGTACTCCGCATGCAAGAATACCGTCTGCCTCGCAGAGCTTTTTCCGCCCTGTGCTGAGTGGAAGCGACGGAGCGGTGGCAGTGTATGACCTGGGAACGAAGTATCAAAACAATACCGCCTCCCTGGATAGGGACCCTGGAATTCAACTCAACAATGGTGAACGGGACTGGCAAGAACAGCCCAATCGCGCATCGTGCATCAACGCTATCGACTTCAAAGCATAGCTACCCAGTTCCCGAGGTAACTGAACACGCCATCACCTCCAAGGTGTGACAGTATGTCACATTCATTTCTCGAAAACAATCCAATTTGGGTTCAAGTGGAATATAAGGTTGATGGAAACTCGGGGACTGCGCCTACCTGATGAGCCCCAAGAAGGGCGAAATCGGTCGTGGGATGTCGAAACTACCTTGTGGGTAGTTTCCTATAGGAACACAATCTTATTTTAAGGGAAGCCGTTCAACCTTTGTTAATTGTTTTCGACGACACAACAACTGAAGTGGACCAAATGACCAAGATAACAAACAACTAGGGTGTCGTTCAAGAGTCCAATCGCCAGATAGCAAAACAACACGGGGCGATAGTGATAATCAGTATAAACAATCCGCCATAACACTCTTTCGGTGCTTATATGCCATGCCAGATGAAGGAAACACGAGGCCTGAGGTTGCCTAAGCCTAGACAGGAGCAGTTGAGATGCTGGAGCTGGTTTCGAGCCACGGAGATTCCGGCCGTTAAGTTTGCGCCTTAAGCTGTCCCGAAGTCAACGTGGAATGTGTTTGACAGTAATTTTTTTCCGGTTTACAGCTAATGGCATCATAGCGAGCTGCAAACTGCCCCGGCAATATAATTAGTGACGAAAAACCTCACGGGACGATTGCAGGAAATTTATTGAAGATGGGAGTAACAGACGATGATCTGGGAGAACGTCGTAAGCTACTCACTTGTCTGGCAGAAATGTCGTGCATGAAATCCAGCACACAGGACGGGTCACTTGGTGTTCCGTGGTCCGGCCACACAGTGAAGTGGTAATGGTAGACAGTGAAACTTCGGTCGTCTGTGGGGTCAGTATTCGTATCCGACGGAACGGTTGATTTGGGATGTGAAGAGGCGAGATCAGAATTGGGATTCTTCGAAAGCAGACCAGACTCCTGGGTTGTTTCCAAAGTGTTAATGTTTGAACCACTAGTGACAAGTTGGTCCGAGGGCTGCGGCTTTCCGGTCTCGCAGGGCTCTCGAATCAGAAGCAACTGTCGAAGCGTATAATTCACGGAATTGCGTTCGGAAATGTGTCGCACACGCAGAGTATGACCATAAGTATGGAAAGTCAGCTCCCCTTCTTGCTCCGTAGGCCAATAGCGGACGCATTTATTCTGAAAAAGTATTAGTTACCGGTGTGCATTAAAATTAGCAGTTGGACCGCAAAATACATATATTACCACCACCACAACAAAATCTTTCTAGTTGATACATTCGCCACATTGGCAGCTGGCAAAATACGGACTACGTTCGATTCGATTCCAAAAAATGTTGAGGGTGGAATGTTTTCGAACGCACCTGATGAGACCAGCCCGGAGACGGCTAGCTAGCTACCCTGATAGTCTACTCAAACAAAGAATGAGACATCCAAAAAGCTTGAATGATTTAGTTGGAGAGAAATAGCGGGCGGATTTCAGAAATCCTCAGAAAGGGCACATTCATTATCCCAAGTCTCTCCTGAAAAGAAATTAATTCAGCACTAATGGGCGAGCTACGGTCTGAGGAAAGCTGTCGAGTAAAGTTAGCAAAAACAAACGGTATCAGCTGGGCTGTTCAAGCTGAGAAAAGCCTACCTATCTATTGTGGCATGGTGTACAGCCACGTTATGTACAACTGCAGTGAGAACCGTGGTCAACAGGAATGGATTTTTGGAACATTTTCAGTGTTTGCTGTAGTGTTATTGTTGGTGGTAAAACCAGCAACGACAGTTCCACTGAAATAAGCCCATAGATACCATCTGATGTCTCTATTGAAACGCGAATGCGTGCTGACCGAAAACCTGTCTAATTGGGGATAGTTGAAGCTTTCGTGATTGACTATGTACCCTTCAGCAGTCATCCCTTTGAATTCGATATCGAAGACAGCACCCTTCAAGGGATATCACTTGATCGAAAGGACCACACCGTTTGTGAAATGTATGCTGCTAGATTTTACACCGACCTCGTCTACCCATAAACAATTCAATCCACTTCTGACGCTACAGTCGTCTGAGTACGTCGGATTGTACAAAAACACAAGGTAAGCTAAACTTGAGTCCGTTTCCCCTAACTGCGCTATGAACACATCACATCTGAGATCTAAATGGATCACAAATACAAGAATTAATCATGTGATTAAAGTTCACAAGGGTCTGAATGACTGACTGGGTGGTGTCCGCGTGACACCAGAGTCTCACACCAGGTTGATCAATGGTTAGACGTTTGACCAACACAGTCTTTCGGTCCTCCAGGTTGGAGGTGGAACATGTATGGCAAAGTGTCCTGTAATAATAGTAATGCATTTGCATTTTACGCGAAAAAACGCTGCGTTGCGGTTAGACTTTTGAGTAAAAGGCTTTGATTGAGGACCCTAATCGTCCTCCTGTCTAGGTGTGGACGCCCTGACAGTATCGCAGCCCACATGCAACAACGATACAATTTAACCTTGATCTCATGTCACATTGGCAATCGCGTCCTGTCACCAACCGCGTGGCCTCATTTGCTGCATACAACAGGGCGGATAGCAGATAACATGATATTGCTGACGCCTCCCTTCTTACACTTTTACACATTTCCTCATCTACCTTACCCTACCCCGCCCCAATTTGAATACTAACTTCACATATCCTAGTATTAGGAGTGACCACTTCGTTCACACAGCATGACGCTCAGCTGTAGCTTCTGTATGTCTCTGTTCGGCAACAGCCCTAACCACTTCGAGGTCTGTTTCCAAACCCCGACGGCCGGTCTACTTAGCTACCTTTATTGTTAGCACACTGAAGTATGCAGAAAAACAGGTGGCCCTTGCTCGCACCCTGGATCAACTGTTCATTGAAGTGAGTGGTCTGTCAGAAACAAGGAAAATGATGCAAGTACTGTAACCTTTCTGAGTGCAACCTCGCTCTTTCTCAGGTTCCGGAAGCGCATCGCTCATGATGCAAAGGCTGTGATAGCTGGATATGCTGGGGTGGGTAGTGCATTGAGCACCCGAGCGGGAGCTTCTCTAGTTGATTGAATACCCGTTGACAGTCACTCCTGTGCAGTTTGTTTGGCGAACTCCGTGGGAGAATCTCGAAAATGTGAGGTCCATCGCACCCAGCTTGTTCTATCTGCTTGCGCCCCAACGGACTGAAGCTCCGAATCTGCCAAAGACGGTCAATATGCTCGTCTACAAACGGCTAAAAGCCCATACACCATTGTGGTTGCTAGAGACATGAACACTCAGGTAAGTAGATCAAGCGCTGAGTGGGTGGTTGTCTTGGGTTGGATACGGGAAGCATGGAAAACGGATACCGTCTGCCTTAGATGTGTGCCGATCCGGACTGTTCCTTGGCAGTACCGATTTCCGAAACAGCGGAAACTGCTTGACAACGTGGTGCTCACCAACGGACTAGTGCCGAAACCAAACAAGCCAAATCGCTGTCAGTTATCGGTAACCAGGGTCAATCACTACCCTGTCGCTCCTCCTAGAATACTAGAGCGGATTCCGACCATGCACATGTGCGCTGCTCCTTCTCATTCCAGTTTTCAGGTCTACGGAAACGCGTACACCTCAGCAACTGAGAAGCTAGTGGACCCAGAAATCCAAAGAACCTATCACAACTAGCTTCTCGAACACCAGCGGGACGGTTCGATGTCGGATATTAACGGCCAGTGGGAACATACCTACAGTGCTACTCAGAGCTGGAACTTCCGTATGCGGTATAATCCAGCCAACATAATCCGAACATTGGATCACTCATAGGACCACGATTTGTTGGAGGCCCGGTGACAGATTTTTCTCGGTCGTAACCGAAAATAAACCCGATGTCAAGTGAAGCTGAGTGTGGATGTGAAATGCCGAAGATGCAAAAAATTCTGAAAACGTTCGCAAGCTGTCCCATCTGATTCGTTTGACTGGCCCTTGGAAACCAATTTTGTCTGAAACTATCAGAGATCGAAATGGCCTCCGATATCCAGTAAACGAGAACGTTTGGAACAGTGGACAAAATAATTGGAACACCAATTCAGCTAGCCATCTGTGGGCCTTCAACAGAAAGGTGGACTGTGAATATGGAGACTCTTTCAGCCTAAGTAGTATCCGAGTGTATACCTCTACTCAAGCGTTATCGTGCTGCTGGTATTGAAGATTGTTGCTGGTGAAAACCTGTGTCGATCTTGAGTAAGCAGACGATATTATCTTCATCTTTGAGGATCAAGGCGAAGCACAATCTCTAGACACCACCCTACTATAGACGTAAGACGTTACTCATAAGTTTGTTTGCAAATGAGTGTATTTCACCATCATACTATCTTTCATCATGCGCCCGCCACCTTCAAGGTGTAAAGTCATGCCTTAAGACGTGCAGTCTCTGAACATACCCGTTACAATTCAGAGAATCATTGGAGGTCATGGAGAATTTCACATACGTTGGTATTTGTATTAGCTCTGAAGGAAGTGCGTCTGATGAGGCCAGTACACGAACCTCAATCACGCTTCCTAATCTACGTCACTTGTGGCGCCGAAAACGCACATTCCTGGATCTTAAGGGTCGCGTGTACAAGGCTACAGTAAGGGCTGCGTTTCCGTATTGAGTGCGAGACGTGGCCTCTGCGGACAGATGGTGTGAGGCGTCTTCACGTTTTTGAAAACCGAAACCACAGAAGCGTTGCTGGATTCAAATGGCGTGAACGGGTTACTAAGAGGTGATAAAAAAACGGATATTTGGTTGCGCAACAAGTACCTCAATCGCGGAAAACATCAGCTGCATCAAATACGGTGGATCAGCCCTGTGCTACGCATGTCAAAACACCGTCTACTGAGAAGTGTTGTACACTGTGCCCCCTTCAGAATAGCGCAAACCGCGAGGCGGACAACGTACGAATTGGCAGAAGGGCGTTAAAGAGATTAGGAAGGGTTTGAGTGTCGCTGGTACAGTACGCCTTCCAGGATGGGTCCTCATGAACCCTCATACGCTTGAGTGAGTGCATTGAAAAAACGGAAGGCCGATGTAAGTGGCGTTTGTACTGTCAGTTTCTTCCCAGATTGTCTGATTGAGCGCTTGGGGGTGTAGGCACCTTAGAATGCTTAGGATAGGCCAACCCTCGATCGCCTTCACCCACTCGTTTTCATTCCAAGGCTTTAAAAACAATTAGATAAACCCCGTAGTCGTACCGTAGTGAAGCATCAGTGTCAATACTGATGTCTCTGTTGATGATGACGATGAATGGTTGAAAAAACGAGCTAGCTGTCTAAACCTGATGGCGCTGACTAGAGCCGTCGAGGTAGGGTCCAACTAGCTGGTTTGAGGTAACCCAAACAAACACAACTCTAGTCATGAAAATAGTGTTGTGTGCCTCAAAAGGATGAAACGCTAGTGGTTGAGATAACAACTATGAGGCCGTGAGACATGTATAACGAAAATGACCTGAACGGGGACTCAGACTACTGGGCCTAACTGGGCCATTAGAGCACATAAGCGGTACATCTTTAGCATAAGTTGAGCACAGCAGTGTCCAGTACGTGCCACAAAAATGACGGTGAGTAAAACAACTCCTGAGAATGAAGAAAAAACAAGCGATCCAATACTTACGCGACCTCTTTCAACAATTTTTGTTATCATCACGATCACTGCGCTTCGCTCTTGCCAGCACATACGCCAGAAAGAGTCTTGCGTGGAATGTACTACACCTTGGGTGGCAATGTAACGAGGTTTTCCATTGAAAAAGAACGGTGCGGCGGAATTCATTGATGAAACAGGTTGGGTGATATTGTGTCCAACGGTGAGACATCCAACTGAAGACCCAGTACCCAGTTTGGCGGACTGCAGCTGATGAGTATTGCCAAGTCCACTACTGGTCATAGCTGAAGAAGAGTTGCCATTGGATAGAGATTCGGTAAGCTGGACCTGAAAAAACGAGAACGAGAAATAGCTCAATGCAAATGGATCAGAAGGCAACCACACAAACATACTTACCTAAATTTTGGTTGCTGAGTTAATCCACTGTCGCCCAGGTAGCAGCGGACGATATCTCCCTGAATAGTGACGGAAGGCCTTTAGGCAGATTGCTAAACTCGGCGAACAGATCAACTATCACCCTAATCAACAACCAAACGTTACTCCCAGAAAATCTTAACGACGACAATAAATGATCATTCCTTCTGTCAAAGCCCATTTTCCGAGGACGACCTATTGATGTTTTCGTCATCGATACAGTGGACGATAGCATCAATAGTTTGACCTACTCTGCCACTTTAGTCTCACGGCGAATGGAAACAATCCTTCTGCCGTTCTCTCGAAATAATACACGCTGCTGGTGATAAACACAATGCCGGTTAATCTTATGGATGGTCTAGACAGACTGATCTCGAAAATGAGGGCTCGTGAAGTAAGGAAGCGCGTGTCCAACTGTACACAGTGAACTGGAATGCGACAGTCACAAACTGCAACGAAGGCAAACAGCAGTATTGGAAGCCCAGGAAACACCATGTTGTCCTAAAATCGTCCAAGTTTCCCAACAGCCAGCCACACACCGAAAACCGGACGCTACGCAGAAACGAAAATAAATGCCTGAGGACATGAATGGTTGTTTAGCCTTATTTCTGTACCAAAAAAGAGCTCGCTGAACTACTGAAAAGTCATAGCATTGAACCGACAATAGATACTACGCTATAACTACCCGGGGTCAGTTGCTATACGAGCAACTCTGGAATTGAAGGATTTCGCGCGCTTCTCAGAAGCGTGTTCCCTTTAGGGGGACTCTGTTGAGGAACAGCATTGCCTACAAATCCCTCATCTGCTTACCGAAAAATAGGGGGCTTCGTCCGGATTTGGCTAACAGAGGCTAGTTGGTCGGAAGGAACGAGGCAGCCAGCCTCTGGAAATGATCCACATTTCTATACTCATTCATTAAAACCATGAGTCCTTACCACCTTTTCGGATCCTAGCTGCCATTTCACCCGAAGGAAACACGGAGGCTAAGGTACTGCCAGGTCGCCCAAGCCTAGACAGGAGCATTCGAGGTGTTGCACTTGATTTCGAACCGCGGACCTTCCATTAGTAAGTTCGCATCTTAATCACTGAGAAATTCGAGCTCATGCAGGCCAGTGGTGGTATGTTTAGGGAAGCGGACCAAACCTCAGATACAAATCTACGAGATGGCTGGATGAGATCTTTACCTGGACGGCTCCAGACAAGGTCCAGGAACAATAAACATATCACTCCGACACTTGATCATTTTAGTTGAAGCCCAGGGTCACGAAGATCCCAACCCTTCCGGAAAGCTGACCATAGGTTAACTTAACTAATTCGAGCTGTTAGATTCGCGGATTAGTGTCACCAAAGCAACCACTTAACCCTAAACCAAAGTTCTTGAGTAACCAAAAAAATTATCAAATAGGTTGCATGGAAATGTATCGGCTTTGAGGAAGAGGAACTCGAAGATTACCCAGAGTCATTTGCTGGTGTCCATTCGCGATTTCACAACCGATAAGACATCTCGGTTTAGACGATGTAACGAAGCATTTCTTCTAACGTGTTTTCCGCCTCATTATGGAAACAATAAATCAGCAACTAGTACCAAAGTTAGGAGAGCAAAGAAGCATACCGGGCTCTATGTTAGTTTCAATGCACTACAGGTCAAAGACCATTAATGTCGTCACACGCATGAGACAGTCCTCTTACTCTTGTAAAGAACCTCCAAAGAGCAAACATGTCAGTAAACGGAACGAAAATTCCGCAACTGTAAACCACAAAAACAGGAAACTCCAATGGAAGATGGAGAGCATCATGTTTGAAGATGTCCCTTGGCATTTGAGGCAGCCCATCGTACCCCCTTTTTGCACGCAAGTTAGGTGATACGACAGGGAGAAAACAGCAGTAAAATACCCATTCTTTTGTGAGTACCAAGCAGATGTACAAGAAGTCATTTCAGTGGGATCAAATGGATAGAGATTGCACTGTCAACAAAACTAACGTAACCAATGCTAGAGCGTACGCGGAGGAATGTTCGAAAAAATATTCAACTTGACTATGCACATCATCAGAAGAAAGCTCGGCTTGTCAGAGTGTGTACAGCCAACATATATAAAATTCTGGATCCCATGGACACCAAGCACAACCAAAGAACATAACACTGCCAAACGCCACAGAATGTTGGTTCCCAACCGGACAGAATGGAAGCTATATGCTTGAAAATTCAAGCCTCTGTATTCATTATGGAGTGGTTTCAGCCTAATAATGTCAAAACAATAACACTTAGTAATACCAGTCCTTCCTATTTTGCAACAAAGGAGTGATGAGCTCCTGTTGTGATCGCACGGTTACCACACTGGCCCTTGATATGCTACTCCGCGCACCACGGTGTACCAAAAGGCAAAATAGGTTGCGAGACCTAGTGGGGAAACAAACTCAGATTACTACAAACGTAGTTAAGCAACGAATGAATAGTCTCCACAAGGGCATTCTTGAAAGATCTTGTCCAGGTAGGAGACCTCGAGTGGAAAAAGTTCGATTCTGAGAAGTAAGATACTCTTTAATCTGGTTCGTAACTGCTTCCATCGTACAATCAGCAGGATACTCAGCTAATTTGGGTGGAACGTTTCAGGATAGTCTTATTAATATTTCCATGTCAAAACGGACATTAAAGTAAGTCACTGTGGAAGGGAGGATGAGCATGGTCGAAAAGCTGACGAAAATGCACGGAACAAGAGATTGTGGCTCCCTGTCGTAAGGCCTCATCAAATGCACCACCTCTCAGAAAGCTAGTAAATCCCAAAATTTCCACTAACAAAAGGAGTCATCAGCCGACTTGCCATGAAGGCTCGTCCCAACCACTATGATAACCTGAAGTTCTCATGCGATTAGCCAAGAACCTGATTAAAGAACAAAAAACGAAAGATAGTCACGGCTATATTCATAATCACATAAAAACAGCTACCGCTCAGCGCACCACGAGTTACTTACAGGCCAGCAAATATAGTTGGCATTGATGTAGTCGGAGCCAGGTTCGTTGGGATCACCGTCTAAGAGTACGACTTGTGTTCGATCAAACGGGAGTATGTTTTTATACCGATTTTTATCTCGATTGTACGCCATTGACCCCTTTTCTCGAGAACTATTTTTTGTCTGAAATAAAGAAACACATGTGGGATCAATAAGATTACAGCCTAGCATGAGAAAAGTGCACCAAGTGTTGGCAAGTGATACGCCAAGTGATACGCACAACCGGTACGCTAAGATGAATAACCAACGTGGAAGTAGTGAACCCCCCGAGGATTGACGCTACTCGCGGGAGACCGAGGGCGATAAGCGAATAGCTAACGGCAAATTCAAAGCCTAACAAAAGCTGTTGCTTTTTATTCACAAAATTGTGGCATGTAAGATCTAGCTCTTTAGCGAGGTGGCCATACGAAACTGCCTGCAACAACGAAAGGGTTGACTTTAGTTGAAGGCAACTTACTAGTCAGTGATACAGAGATCTCAGTGCGTTCGTGAGCAAATTCTGTGAAAAATAGGAGTTCAGCGCGGTGACTTGAACTAGACACTGTAACAGGTGGTCAACCAACATCACTCTCAAGACTGTACACTTCGAAGTCCCTGAGTCCCATGCTGTCAAACCCATACCTAATAATGGTTGAGAGCCCGAACTAACCATACCTGCAGGGTCAACCCAGTTTTTCTTGCCGATAAGCTTCAGTATAAGATAAACGCCGTCACACTACTAAGCCGTGAGAGAGGAGTGGTGTTGTTGAGACGTTGGATCCAGTGCAAATTTTAAGGTCACACGGTTCACGTTCCAAGATTGAACAAATTCAATCCCGAGTGTAAGAGTATTGGAGCCGGAAAATGCCTATATTCTAAGGTGGGAGATAGCCAAAGTGTACTGAACTCAAAAGAAGTTAGTAACCGCCGATACGCATGCCAAGCAGATACAGAGAAACTTACACCAAACAAATTATGAACAGAATATACCTGGGCATTGTAAAATGATATAGTTAAGATAACTTGCCTGAGGTTCCTGATGTAATTCTTCAAATTCTTCAAGAAAACCAGGCAGTCCACCCTGATGCCCACTTTCCTGTTCCAGCTGCCTGATTCTTTGGTCAATAGTTGATACATTAAATCGGGTCGTATTGAAAGGCTGGAAATGGACGTCCACAAAGAAAATCGAAAGTTCAACAGGTCGCCATCATGCTCAGCATTCGGCTTAATATGCAGCAAAATATAGTTGGAAACTGTGATATTGATCCGATAAAGCTGGTGAAATTGTCAAGAAAACGATAAAATCATGAAATATAGGGGGTTCTCACAGTCAAACAAGACTTCAATACTAGAAGGCGGCCTGTGTGCAGCACACTCAGCTGTAGAATATCATAAACGAGAGATCCAGTTGAGTTTCTCGTGATTTGCAAATGAGTGTATTTCTTGAAAACAGTCCAATTTGGGTTCAAAGAGAACATAAGGTTGATGGAAACTCGGGGACTGCGCCTATCTGATGAAGAAGAAGAAGAAGAAGAGTGAAACCCAAGAAGAGTGAAACCGGTCGTGGGCTGTCGAAGAGTTTTTAGCAACTTTGTGAGTAGTTTTCTTTACGAGAATTACTTGTTCATCGTCGAAAGTATCTCTAACAGGAGGGCTGTTGTGCTACAAGGTCGAACTGTCCTGCGCATTTGAACTGTGCTAGGGTAACTGAAATCCAACGGAAACGTCTTGACTGTGTATCCTACTAAACTTATGCAATCTGTTTTCTTTGAGTCTTCCCTTCCTTTCACTTCACTATACCCACCCCGACCCTCCACACGCCAGCAGATTCGGTGAAGATGCAGCGCTCTACTGTTGTGAACAATTCATGCCAAAAAGATGGAGAATGAAGTTAGTTGCATTAAATATAAACATTTTATCGTAAAGGCACTCTGCGCTCGGGAAAGCTTTTTTTGTCCGGCATGTTGGACAATTCTGATTCAACTTGTTTGAGTGCCCTGTTTAAAACAGCCGCTTTGTCAAAAAGAGGTCAAAAGAAGCGTGAGATCACAAAGTGGAATATTTCAGAGCGTAAACCCTCGCAACGAATGCCTATAAGGTTCAATAGTGTTCACCTACATTAGTACAAGGATATTCACATTTGATAAGAACTAATAAGACATTAGTCTAAAAAAACTACACACAAGCTTGCTGAAAACTCTTCGACAGCCAGCGACCAGTTTCACCCTTCTTGAGGCTCAAGAGCAGTCTGCCAGTTTCCGTCAAGAATGAGATTCAACGGAGTCTTCCGTGAAAACCAAATTGATATGCGAATGAGTGTATTTGTTGGAGACATTGGATAAGTTGCACGTTTGGCAGTGTTCGGAAGACTATCCGAGGGATGGTGATGCATGTACTAACCAGAGAGAACCTTAGAGACACTGCACACCCCACGCATTGACTGCCGTGGAACTTCAGTCATGATCAGAATTACAAGATGCCAGTCAATTCCAAGTAGCGGTTCACTTGGAGTTACAAGTTACTAAGTTAAACAGCTTTCGCGTGGCGGCACGTCGAAGTGCTGAGAGTTACTACTGAATGAATGGCAGGTGTATTAGCAAAGTTGGCTCACGCATACCACATGACAAATGGATTAACGAATGAATGCAGCCATCCCTCCAACGAGCAATAATGTCCCACCTAAAAATTTCTTTACAGTCCCCTTAATGGATATATATATATATATAGGCGCAAGATGGTTTCAATAATGTCCCACCTAAAAATTTCTTTACAGTCCCCTTAATGGATATATATATATATATAGGCGCCGAAAAGATGGTTTCCACATTTTATTTTGGCTTATTATATTACTGCTTGTCAGTGGAACAGCAACCTGGATCATGATAACTGTCTCTTCAGTACTGTAAACCCAACTATCCGATTAGTTTGTCATTAGCCAGACACAGTAACCTTTACCCTTCAAAACTAACAGACTTTCACCATTTAGCTAATGACTGAATGCTTAGTTACTGGTAACAGCAATTCACAAGAATAGATAAATTCATCATATACCCAGCGTTTCTGTCTTGTACAACAATGATCTCTTATAAGATAAACAGTTTTACGTATCACTAAGCGTGTCTTTTTCTGAGACAACCACATTGAGTTCGTCCCGTCACGTTCTTCTCATTAAATATTGCAGAATGAGTTCCTAGACTGTTAGTTTCAACAACTAGGACAACGCAGGATACACCGATCATCTTCAGTGAACCTAAATGTTATATATATCATAATAATTGCCAGGCTCGACTGCCTACAGTGTTCACTTTACTGGGATGCCCATATTTGACTGGCGCTGCTGAAATTTGCTGTATTTCAACATTCTCTTTGAAAAGTAAGGCAATAAAGTTGGAACACTCCTAACAGACTACGTTATTTGAGTATATATATA